GGGCTGAAGACGCCGGGTTATTTCTGGAAGTTCGAGCTCAGCTTCCCCCCTGTGGGAGAAGTATCGCATGATGATGTGATCTTGGATTTACAAACATGGATAAACTTTTAATGCACTGTTGAGAAAACCTGCACAGTCAGAGTGGAGCAGTCGAAGTGAAAACAGATCGTGTGTCACGTAAACTGTCTCGCGCAGGTTTGTCCTTAACTCATAATAAGTCTGGAAAACAAAAGAATATGATGCAATAATCAACAGGCTGAAATAAGATCTGACTGAATGATGCAGAATGTAAACTTTATGGTTATTCTTTCTTTAGCAGAGGATTAAACTCCCCCTGAACTGTTGTGGACAGTTCATCATGAACACGGCAACGAGCAGCTGGTCTGTCGGACGCTGTTATGATCATAGAGTCAGGTTTTCCACACGGATGACGACATGTTGAAGCAAGGCATCGTGAGGCCTTGAGTGACTTTGACCTTTAACCACCAAAATCTAATCAGTTCATCTTTGAGTGAGTGTTTGTGAAAGACATTCCCTTGAGTCTTTCTTGAGATATCGCGTCCAAGAGAATTGGACGCACGGACAACCCCAAAAAAAATATAGTGCCTCCAGCTGCTGGCTGTCGCCGGCGTGGAGACGGAACAACTGGATCAAACTCATTGATGAGTCAGAACACTTGGCTCAGACTGACTGACTGACTGAACACGTCTGCAGATCACAGTGTTTCACACCGAGGCGGTCACATGGTCCACGGGAGTGCGCTCTAACCAGGAAGTGTTGTCGTCTGCACTCTAACGCACCTCGGCTGCAGCAGAGTGAGATTTGAGGCCAGTAAAAGAAGAGACTGAACCAGTGGAGAGTAGATTTCTGTGTAGTTTAGGTTCCACCTCATCTCCCTTTCTCTCTTTGTCACTTTCCCTCTGTGCTTTTCCCCACCTCTCTCCATCCCTCACTTTCTGTCACATCCTCCTCTTCCTCCCTGAATCTTTCTGCAGCTTCTCCCTCGTCCCTCGTTACCGCCTCTCCTCATCCTCCCCTGTCATCCTGTCAGGTTGTGCAGCAGCCGTTACTGTCAGTTCTCCACAACGCGCGGTTTTCATTCATCAGGATTGTTGCAGCAGCGGCAGGTTGAAGATTCAGTTGTGTTGAAGGTTTTCTCAGAAGATTTCATCCAAACCCACCTAATGAGTGTACTGCTATCAGGTGTGTGTGTGTGTGTGACCGACAGAGATAAAGCAAACAGACAAATATGGTTATTTTTATACGCGCAAAACAGCGAAAGGATATTTACGGTCTTAAATCCAAATTTCCTGGTGAGCAAAATGCTTTTGTGTAGTTATAGTAGAGCCTGCTTTGTTTGTGTGTGTATCTGTGTGTGTGTGTGTGTGTGTGTGTGGTTTTGGCATATTACGCCGGGTTGTTCTGTTGATGTGTTAAACAGCAGTGGATTGTGGGACTGCTGAAAGGATTAGCCCCAGAACGACCCCGGCTTCAAAGATGCAACTCTCCGCCACAGCAACAAAAAAACAAAACGGATGATTTCCACCTGTCGAACACCTCACGACTGACAGCGACAGCAGGGTGCAGGTGAAACCTTGTTTTATCGGTTTATCCAGGAAAGATTTTCTTGGCTGACATTTGTGTGAAATGTCAAAGATTCTGAGGGAGAAATATGCAGATGAGGCAGAAGAAGGGAAATAAGTAAAGAGCTGATCCCTCCAATGCAGATGTGGTGATGTATTGCACAGTTGGAGTTACTGAACTCACATATGTAGCAAATATAACATTTTTCTGATTACATACAGAATCAATGCAAAGACAAAGACGGGAAAAGCACTTAAAGATCATGAAGAGAAATATTTCTCACTCAGACGTTGTGGTTTTTTTGTCGTTAAGTCGTGAGATTGCTGCTTGTTAGCGTCGCAGGGTGGGTGTGTTTTTTTTTCAGATCAGAGTCATAAAAGTTTGGTAGAGGTCGTAACAACTCGTAATGAACCACTGGCGCAAATGGAGCCTGGAGACATTTGAAGATTAAAACCCCAGAGGGGCGGGATCAGAGCTTAACTTCAGATATTTTCAACATATGCCGTTTGGTGGAGGCTGTTAACCAAAGCTTCTTACAGGACCACGAGCATTTAATCATCGTACATCTACAAAATTACTGAGACATGAATTTCACTTGCGTCCAAAACAAGACTCGTACATATGAGCTGTTTTATACCAGTTAATGACAATGAAAATATCACAGACTGATGATTGAATTTTTATTACATCTTTTATGATTAAAGATTAGGAGATAGGATTTTATTCCCCCAGATAAATGTGTCACCTTTTAGTTCCGAGCTTATTAAACCCAGAGTTATGAATAATATTGTGATATCACTGCCGTCATTTTCAGGAAATGACTCACGAGCTCATTCCCTGTTACAGATTATTAAAAATGACTCGGCTCAAAACCGTATAAAGTTAGAAGAAGCAGTAGAAGCAGATTTGCAATGTTTGATTGGACTGATTAGAATAAAGAGAGACAGTGGACATTATATTTGTGGAAGCATATAGATGGAAAATATACAGAGATCAACAGGTCACTAATACGGACTCTTTGTTCTTCTTCTTCTTCTTCTCTTTGTTTGTTGTGAGATAATGAAATGGAGAATGGCTGTTGTGTTTCTTTCAACACTTTAAAAACCACAGAACTTCCACAAATTATGAGTAGATGTAAACTTAAAGTCGTACCTGTTGCTTCTTCTCTCACCTTCAGTCACTTTAACACGTTTATCTGAACTGTAAAGTCAGCGCTGGGCAGTGAGATAAATGTAAATGTAAAGGATTGCAATTTGAAAAGTCAGCAATGTGATTAAAGTTAGTGATTCCAGTTACTTTGACATGTGGTGGTTGATTGGTGGATTACTGGGGGTTTGATATCAGTCTGGTTCTGGTAAAGTTACGATAAGAGGAGGGATTAAACTGGTTTTATTTTATCATCGGTGGTCAGCTGCATGCTGTCACACAGGTGAAGCAGCTGGATGCTCAGTGAATCTCTGCAAACCTCCTGTTCAACTTCCTGTCGAAAAGGTTTTGTTGTCATCGGCGTTACACAAACACTACTGGACGGATTACCAGGAAAGTTGGTGAAAAGGAAGTTGGTGCAGATCCGAGAAATGTTTTCTTCACTTGAACATTTCAAGACAATGCCACGATGGAAGTGGCCACTCGCTTCCTTTGCAGGAGACCCCCCCAAAAAAGCATCTTCCAAATCTCTCCCCTCTCCATCCACATAATCCCTAATCCCAGTTCCCCGCCATTCGAGTACATTAGTGAATTATTCCTTTAATCCAGAAGGGGTAGCGGCCGCAAAGCAGCTTTTTTCAACGAGCTGCCCTCGGATGAAGTCATCGACTGGAGGATAAACATGCGGCCAATCACATCTCGTTTTAATTAGTTTCACCCCTTGTGTTCGATGCCAGACTCCTCGGTCCCGCTCGGTCCGTCACACAAAGCGAACAGACGTCAGGGTAGTGATGTCATCGCGTGGCACCGGAGAACGGGCGTGTGAGTCTGAGGCTGGAACGAGTCTTCGGAAAGAGTCGGTGATTGTTGGAGTACGTTTGTATTTATAGTCTCAACATAAACATCAGCAGATGTTGACAGTTTATTTTCTCCTGCTGTTCTTTTACAGATATCTCTTCTAATCCTGTTGGATTGGGATCTTGCTTCGGTGGGAGGGAACAGTCTCAACTCCAGTTTTTCAGGATTGAATAACAGCTCATTAACATTTTGGACCAGTGATCAGTTTAAAATGTCCTTGTTGTAACTGAGCGATCTCCCAGGAAACCAAAGTGCTCTTTTCATCTCTCCGTCCCTGACCACTTTATTTTCAGCCCCCCTGATTGTTGAATTTTTCATAGTGATGGTTTCTGCAGTTACTGATGTCAGTGTGGTTTGTGTGGAGCCAGCAGGTTTTCTTTTAGTGCTTCAGGCACAAAACCACATTCTTCTGCAGTTTTAGGCCCAGAAGATGTTTTCTGATCCGTGTGGTTTATGCAGAAGAACAGTGGAGTGCAGTTATAAACCTGCCTCTCATGGAATGAGCTGTTTATAGTTTTCTTTTTTCAAACTATAAAATTACGACCTGCGGCTGCACAAAGAGCTGATCACCTGTTTCTCCGAGGCTCAGTTAAGCTCCGTACGCAGAACCTGAGGTGGAGAATCATTTGTTGTGAAGTCTCTGTTGTAATGATCAACATCACTCACATTGATGAGTCCCAGCAGCTGCTGCTCCAGAGCGCTGACCGGCTGTTTATTCAACATTTATTCATATTGAACGAAGCTCGTGTCCGAATTGCACCGAATTCAACCGTGCACTTCTTTGGACCCTAAAGCCAATGAGATGAAAGTTTCTCGAGATGTGTGAGTCACATACAGACGGAGAGATGTCTCTCATTAGTAGATGGATGATGACATTGTGTCTTGGTTGGTTTATATTATTCACATTGATTGTTTTAATGATGTCCCTTTGGTCAGTCAGAGTTTTTTTCCTGCTTAATGAAAAGATGTATTTAGACTCTTGCATCATAATATATAATATTGACAGTGTAAAATCCTCACGTTCTATTAACTGTTTTCTAAAATATTTCATATATTTTCATGGGTATTCTCGTTAATCTGCAGTTGATGTAATCTCGTCACCCTTAATTTCTCATACCACAAATCAAACGAGCTGATTGTGAACTGCAGACGTTTCCCTTCCCTCCACTAACGGACCTATTTGAGAGCTGAAAGTTTTTCCTCAACAAATCGATACCGACTGTTTGCAGAGCGGCACCATTTTCACCTCATTCACTTTCCTGCATCGCTCTCACCAGTGAGTTTCCTGACTTCTCTTCTTCTCCCTCTGAGAGCATCAAGTCTTTTTTTGTGCTCAGGGTCTCGAACGGCTCATGAAGCTTCAGGGGAAAAAACTTTACAAAGATTATACCTGCGAGGTTTAAAAATTCATGATGCAGAGTAATAATTGATGGTTCTTCTGTCCAGTGGGTCTTGGGTCGATTATAAACCTGAGTGCAACCTCACTCCTCTGGGTTACGGATTTAAGATTAAGACAATGAGCAACATTCCCAGTCTGAGACCCTCCCAACACTTTCCTTCCTTTCCATCTAAAGTTTTCTGTTCTTGTTTGTTTCCAGGAAATGTTGTCGGGACCAATGTCACTGAGCCGGACAACGCAGCCAACGTTACCGCCCTTCTTACCGAGGAGGAGGGACCGGCCAAGGCCAACGACAACATCGCCACGGTAACTGCGACGAGCAGCTCTGCCAGTCCCGACACTGTGACCCAGAGGGCGGGGCGTATCCCCCGAGCCGGCGAAGAGGAGGAGCAGAGCAGCGGCATGTTCGGTGAATCTGTGGTTCCTGCGGTGGAGGAAGCTGGTGTTGCGGCCCCGCCTCCGCTCATCCCCGATTCGGCCGAGACGGAGCACCTGCTGCCTAGCAACCCACTTAAACCGGATGAGGGTGAGGAGGAGGATGAGGAGGAGGAGCGTCTGCCACACACCGACCCACCTTGGATCCACGCTAAGGACACAGCCGTGTTTGACCTGGACCACCTCTTCACCACCACTGCCCCGCCACCAGCCGTCACTAACCCCTCCAACCCGGACGTCCTCCATGTGGACTTCTTCGACCCTTCGTCTCGCGGCCGCGGCCTGGACCTGGCACCGCCCTCTCCTTCATCACTGGCCCATGAGCTGCAGGGTGGTGACCCAACCTCCTGGGCGATGCCAGACAACTACGACTACCTCACGCCCTATGAGGACGGCGTGTCCCCCACCGCCGATGAGTACACCTACAGCACCACAACTGAGGCCTACGAGAGCGATGAAGACCTCCGACTGTCCGCTGGGTCACCGCCTCGCTCCAGGCCTCGTGCCCCGGCGTCCTTCATCCCCGGGGCAGCACTTCCTGGTGCTGGAGCTCCAGTTCCAAACATCCCTGGGGCAGCTCCTCCTGCTGCCTTGCCGGTGGACGGGTCAGACGGGTTGGGCGGATGCCGCATGGGCTACCAGATGGTGAACGGAAGTTGCCGCTCGCCCTGCGATATGCTGCCCAACTACTGCTTCAACGGGGGACAGTGTTACCTGCAGGAGGGTTTGGGAGTCTTCTGCAGGTAGGAAGCAACATTAACACAAACTCAGTCTTTCACACATCACGATGCACAAATACACCACTCAGCAATACACACACCTGGAATTTGCAGATTGTTGACGTTGCACCAGTATTTTGCAACCTCATGAAAAATCACGACATCTGCGTCAAGTCAAACGAGAACTCAGGCTCAGGGGGTTTTTAATGTCGATATGACACCAAAAGCAAAATATAAGAAAATACAAGCAATAACATACACAAATGAAATTATAGCATTTTGTGAACACTGAACTATAAATTGAAATTATTTTCATACTTTGCATTTGTCCGTAAACTATAAAACTCTCATCCATTTACTGTTTGAGCTCCAGGCTGAGCCCTCGAACTGCAGTAATGATTTCCCTCAATACTCAATCCACTCCGGTTGCCGTGGTGATGAATCTAGGTGGAGGTCAAAAGTCAAAGGGATTAAGAGATATGAGATATAAAATATGGCCTGAGCCAAAGAGTCGTTTCAGCTCAATGTGAGTCCTGTGCGAGCAAGTCCACGTTCACACTGTGGATTAAAAACGTCCTGATCTGTGATGTGAGCAGCTTCATCTGAGTTGTTGGAAAAACAACATCCTCGTCGTCACAGCAGCGAGTTCAGGATTAGAGATGATGTGGTGGAGAGAGTGTGAGCGTAACCTGGTTTCAAACTCATGTGTAAAGTCGTGTGTTTTTATTTGTACATCTGAACCGACCGTGACACCTCAACACAAAGCTGAATTAGAGTGATTTTCAGAAAAGCTTTTTAGAAAAAGGCTGAGCTCAAATTTCTAGAGAAACAAGATTGGATAGTTTCTGTGTGAATTTCAATAATGTTCCCTCCTCATGAGACGTTTGAACTAACATGAGAATCTGGTGTAGAGGGACGACAACATGGATTTGAAACCTCAGGTTCAGGTTCACAGTACGAGTAAAAACAGATCAGCCGCCATTTTGTTCTGAGGGTCAGTATTCATACTGGAGGAGATCCATCACGAGGAAGAGACCCACAGAAAAACAATTTAACGCCGACAGAGGCCTTGGTGAGGAGAAAATGGCTGCAGGCAGAAAAAAGGAAACATCTGGAACTCTGTGATTGATAAGAATTAACATTGTTTTTACCGATATCAATCACAAAAAGGCAGATTTCTCATTTCTTGGTGGCAGATGTTTTACATACATTTCCTCATAATGATGATGAAGATGAATGAAGCAGCCAATCAGTGAGGAGACGCTTCCCATTAGTGAGCAGCTGCGCAGCTTAGCATGCAAATGTATTCACGGAGGTGTTGGTCCTCCTGACCGGAGCTGATGGAGAGAATGTGCATCA